GTTATCCATCTCTGCGTTAACAAGACACCTAAACAATTAGCCATCGAGGCAGCCTGCCAGCCACACCCTAATTTGTCAAATAAACATACATAAACACAGAGACCCACACATGCATACTAACTCAAACATGCACACCCAAATAATTAAATACATTTTTTCACATAACTTTACTTATTTTTTTTTACACGGCTCGTTGTTTTATTGATGTTAATTTTTTATTGCCTAATCATTTTCTTCTTCATTGTTGTTTTTGTTGTGTTATTCTAGAAATCGTTGATTTATGAATCATTTTGGGAATATCAAATGAGCTGCTGAGCTTATAAAACATTATTACCGGTCATGCCAATGGAATGAATGATGGAAAACTCCCCTGTCTTCCCATGTGTGGCGGTTAACATTGTTTTGATTGACATAGCAGGAAGCTCAGGGTGGTTGTTGTCGTTGTAGTTTCATGGTTTCCAATTACAATCACGCGACCCTTTTACCACCTCACCAATAACCTGTGCCTTTTTTATCCTTTGGATTGGAAAAATCCCCTCTCTGCCTCAGATACTGACTAAGGTTCTCTTACAATGGCGATAGCCGATAACCAACCATTCATTGAAAAACACTTAGTCAGTCAATTAGAAGTAAATAATAGTTGTCATTTAAGTATTTTAACATTGAAATTGTTATTGTTTTTACTACGGATATGGTTGTTGTCTATATGGCTTATAACAAACACATTCATTCATACAAAATTTGCATTTGTGAAAATAAACAACAACACAAAGTCGGGTGATTTTGACCTTGAACAACAACAACTCTGTCTCTCACCTACATTTAGTGGCGTTGAAAATAATAGAGAACATCCCATCGATTGTAATCGTTTGTGGTTTACACCCTATGTCACTGCTGTAATTCCAGACCTTTTACGGATGCGAGGTAGAATCTTGGCATTCAGTGCCTACACCTGAATTTATTTATCGTAATAAGGTAATTAAAAGTAACTTTAGTTTATCATAATAATAGATATTGGGTATCTAATTTGCATTTACACCTCCAAGATATTGAAGAGAATTAAATAATTTTACATATGTTCTACGGGCGTTCTATTTATGAAAATATGGCCATGTTAAATACTCCGTATTAATAGACCAACTTTTTTATACTTTCAGAAGTACTTGCAGGTCGCAGAGCATGAAATATTAGTCATATACGTACCAGGGAGGTTATAAATATCCAAAATAACATTTCGAATATTAAATTTGTCATTCCGTTTGCAACACATCGAAACATTTGTCGGGGATCCCTTATGAAATACTTAATTTATTTAAGGATCTCTGTCTATCTGTCAATCTGCTGAAACCAAGCTAGACACCAATGGGTATTATCGATTATAATCCCCATTAACGGTTGCTCTCGGTTTTTGGTATTTTGAAGCATTCAGCAACAATTTCGTACTTACTCAGACGCATTTTCATATTTCGAGTTCTGATTAGGCCTAAATTCCCCTCCAAAAAGATTCTAAATGTTAGTGGCTTTTCTAAAGCCAGAACCATCAGATTTTCGATATTTTGAAGGTCTTGGTCACAATTTACTGTTTATAAGCAATATTTGATACAAGGGTTCATACTAGGCATAATTTTTTATTCCAAAAAATTTTCAATATAGTACACTTATTTCACCACTTTCAACCAAACGAACTAAAACTTGTTTTTGGGAACTAAATATTCCATATTATAACCATATTGTATAGTATCAAAAAGTTGGACCCTTAACTCAAGAACGTCGTTGAACCATCAACCATAGCGTATTTTGTTTATCGTTTCGTTTGTAACACCTCGAAATATACATTTCAGACCACACAAATATATATTCGCGATCAGCATAGATTTCTATGTCGATTTAGCGATGTCCGTCAGTCTGTTTCTTTTAGGTCTGCAGAACTTTTGGTATTGAAAATAGGACTTAGTTTTGGTATAAGCCCATATACAGGGTGAGATGAAACAACGGCAAACAACTTCAGACTGCTTCTATTTCTAAGCCATTCGTCCGACAGCTGTTAAAATTATTCCAGTGACAGCTCATTATATTGTTTACAAGCGCACAAAAGCATTTTGGTGAGAATTTTCCAGAAAAAATGTTATTCGTGATGGAATTCAAGCGTGATAGTGTGATTTCTTTATATTTGGCTGGAAAACAACAAGTGGCTATCGTTAGAGCACTCCAGCATTTAAAAGTGAATAAATCTTTTGTGTCTTGTACCATCGCTCGTTACCGTGATATTGGTAGCGTAGCCCGACGTCAAGGAAGTGGGCGGAAGAAAACAGCAACATCAGCAGAAATGGTTCGAAAAGTAGAGAAGCGACTTGATCGAAACCCTCGTCTCAGTGGCCGAAAAATGGCTCGTGAGCTGAACGTATCGCAATATTCCATTCGGCAAATATTGAAAAATGAGCTTGGGGTAAAGCCATTGAAATTCCAAAAAGTGCAAGAACTTACACCGCAATAGAAAGAAAGTAGACTCAAAAGAGGTAAAGAGTTGCTTCGCTTGGCCGAAAGTGGTGAACTGCTGAATTTGGTTTTTTTCCGATGAGAAAACATTCATTGTCCAGCAGTTTGTAAACAAACAAAATGATCGTGTTTACTTGCTAAAGAGGTCAGCTGAAAATATGCACCTTCGGTTGGCCACCAGAACTCAAGCGCCGGCCATGGTGATGGTGTGGGCCGCCATTGTAGCCGATGGTCGCTCTCCGCTCGTATTAATCGACCTGGCATCAGAATAATTGTCGTATATTATCGCGAAAATATTCTGGAGGGCGTATGAAAGTCTAGGTCACGCATATATTTTGGCCGCTGTTCTTGGACATTCCAACAGGACTCACCACCCACGAATGGTTACAAAATAAGGTTCCTCGCTTCATTTCCAGCACACAATGGACACCAAAATCTCCGGATACCAATCCGTTGGACTATTGTGTCTGGAGTATTTTGGAAAGCTAGGTTGCCACTAAAAATAACGAAATGTCGATCACCTTAAGTGCTTCGCCGGGAATGAACCAAAATACCGCAGAGCAACATTCGGGCAGCGTTTGACGGTTTTATTGCCGGTTTGAAGGCCATAATTCGTGTCAAAGGTGACCATTTCCAACAAATCTAAACTTATTCTAAAATTTGATGCCGTTTCCGACATTTTTTGCTATCATTCAATAAAATTTAAAAAAAGGAAAAATAATGGCGTTTGACTTTATTGCAGTTTTTGTATCTCACATATGATGGAATTTATTAAAATTCTTTTGTTACGGGAATTCTACTAAATATGCACAGTGGTGTAGAGTATCATATAGTCAGCTCCGCCCGACTTTTGACTTTTCCTTACTGGTTAAACAATTTGCAAGTTTCTTCCAAATGGTGAAAGGTATTAACAGTTTTTTTTATTTGTTATTTGTTTACATTGATCTGAACATTTGAAATTTTATTCTCATCATTTTTCATATAATATGAACTAAGAGCTAAAATCTATAAGGCCTTGAAATCAGGGTTACACCTGTAGATGGACTGTCCCAAAAAAATGCATCGATTTTTTGAACCCAATGATTCTTGAAGTAATCGAAAACTCTCTATACATTTTCAAAGCTCTATATTAAATTTTGCGGAAAAAATATCTCAAACTATTGGGGTACCTTTATACATGGTCAAGGTTATATAATGGCCCTTTTGGGGGTTTTCTAAAGTAGACCTTTATTAACAATACATTTGTAGAATATTTTGAATATTAAGATCCTGTTAAAAAGGAAGTTTTTAACCATATTATGGAAAATACTCAAAAAGTGTTGAGGAGAACTTGCCCCCTCTAATTAAATTAGCTTGCGATGTAAACTTTCAAAACGTTGATTCACATATTTCCTTGTTTTCATAATATTCAGGATTTTTCTATAATTATGTATTGAATTTTGTCACACAGTGTAGTGACTTTGCAGATCCTGGCTCCATTCTCCATCCAAGCTAGTATTCGTAATTAGTTAAACGACAGGTTTGTACTGGTAATAACAGTTTTAAGTATTTTGGGGTCGTAAGTCACATTTTTCAATTTATTTGTATACAATAGACATTTTCATCGCAGTGGAATCATAAAATCTCAGCTGAATTTATGGTTTTTGTCAGACGAAATTTAACATATATTCACTTCAATTTTCAAAATAGATGCATAGCTTAGAAAAAATGATAATGACTATAACAAAAATAACAAAATTGGATTAAATTGAAAATTTCAAAAATACAGACTTTTCATTCCTAGCTTAGAAAGCACATTGGGCGCCATATGAGTTCGTTATGCTTACTTTGCCAACTTTGTATATTCAGATTTGTGTACTTAAGAATAACTTGCAAGAATTACAAATAATTTCATAATAATAACATTGTGAATACAATTAAAAAAGCATTAAATTAAAAAGTTAAAATATATTGAACTTCCCATCCCTGGCTCAGAATATACATTGCGCGCCATATATGCATAACTTTGTTATGTTTACTTAGCCAAGTTTATATATTCAGCTTTGTGTACTTAAGAACAACTTGCAGAAATTCCAAATAATTTCATTAGTTTTTTTCCTGTCAAATATGACTCGTAATAATCAAAAATAATAATCAAAATGTTACCTCTCTGAGTCAACTGTAATGTAAGATGATGATCGTTAAATACTTTATAATCAAACTGCAATTTGTTGTCAGTTCAAAAGAAAAACTACAACAACTACGTTATTAACTACAACATCAAAGATGAAATCAACAACAAAACAATTAACAAATAAATTCCTTTAAACAAAAAAATCGAGGAACAGGTTTTAAAAAAGTGCTGTCAATGGATGGTTATTTGAGTGCAAGATAAATTAGAAATTCAAAATATAAAATATCAACACAAATAGGTATATTAATAAATTAAAGTAAAATAGAGAAACAAAAAAAAACTTGTTTTATTTCATATTATTATTGTTTTTAAAAACAAATTAGTTACACACATTTTTTTTGAGAGGTTGGTCACGTTGCTGGTGGTATTAAACCGTGTCTTGGTTATATTTGAAATTTTAATAAAAATGCATTCAACATATAACGGTTATGGTGCTGTCAATGAACGTTAATGTTTAATTTTTCTATTTAGAATTTGTTAATAGAAATTATTGGTGCTTCTTTTCGAAATAATTCACACTTTTTCTAAAATATTTTTCAAATTAAATGAACTATTTGAAAATTCGTTATTTTTATTTTTGATTCGTTCACTGTTAATCAACAAAACAAATATTTGTTTGTTTTTCTATTCAATTTCCGTTTCTGTTTTCGTTTCGTTATCCGTACAACGTTTACCACGCACGCGTTCACTACGGCTCTCAAAAATCAACTGAACTGGAATGTGTTGAACTATTTGACTTTTGGGGCTGTCAACTAGTTCTTGTTGGAAGACATGCTCCCCGAAGAGAATAGTAAATATGAAAACTCTCTTTAATAGTTGACTTCTCTCTTTAAAACGGATGGTTTCCTTAGCAACATTCACAACCACTTGTTGTACATTTCCAAAGTTTCTACCTTTGATATGTATCGAGTTTAGCAAAGCCAAAAACCAACGAGGTAGCGTCATCTAGGGATGGTTTCTTAGCGAGAATTTAAACAGTGATGTCAATCACATGTTTTCTATAAGCGAAGCTAGCGATTTTTGTTTCATTCAATTACAGCCTGTTCCACGATTTCGAAAGAACACATTCGCACGCCTTTAATACGACAAATGGCTGATTTCTGTTCCACTAAAATCCATCAAAGCGAACGAAAACGTAAGCATTTCAGTGTAATTTTGCGTCCCACTATCTTTTTTCTTTTGCACGCATGCGAGCACAAATGTCAAAATTAGTCACTTGTGTGATTGATGTTGTCTAATTACAACTCAGGAGAATTGTTTAATCATAAATATGGCTAAGATTGAAAATGGAAACAAAAAGTTAAGTAAGAATAATAAAGACAAGTATAATTTTTCTTTCTTCAATTCCAGCACTAAAAATCATATACTACACTGCCGCGGGCAGTAGCTGAATATATGGAGAAGAATACTGACCTCGCCAGAGGATTGCCAATATTTGGAAACAATAGGCAACTTCACATCATCTATAAAATATGGGGCAACAGAAATATTAATTTATTAATTTTTTTTTTACACAAATAAATTGAACACAATCTCGGAATGTTATTTTTTTGTTTATTTACAATTTGCTTGCTTACAACTGAACTGTCAGTTCAGGCGTTGGCCTACGTATGGTTGTATTTTTTACAGCTTTTCATACCCTCCACCATACATAGTATATTTGTTTGTATCGAAATAATCATTTTAGACCCAACAAAGTATATATATATTCTTGATCAGCGTAAAATTCTAAGACTATTTAGCCCTGTCCATCCGCCCGTCTGTCCGTCTGTTGTAATCACGCTAGAGTCAAAACGAATTAAGATAGGAAGCTAAAATTTTGCACAGATCTGTCTTTTGCCTACAGGCAGGTCAAGTTCGAAGATGGGCTATGTCGGTCCAAGATATCGTATAGCTCCCACATAACGGTACCCTCCGACATTCGGTATTTTGATGATTTTAGCAACATTTTCCAATGGAATGGTCTGAAAATCCACACAAGGAGATTCATATCAGTACATTATCCCTTGGTAGAGAATTATCTATATAGGTCCACGATATCGTATAGCCCCCATATAATGGTACCCCCGATATTCGGTATTTTGATGACTTTAGCCAAATTTTGAATGGAATTGTCTGAAATTCCACACAAGGAGCCTTTTGTGAGTACTTTATCCCCTGAAAGAGAATTGTCTATATAGGTCCACGATATCGTATATCTGCCATATAACGGTACCCCCCGATATTCGGCATTTTGATGATGTAAGCTACGTTTTTCAACAGAATTGTCTGAAAATCGACATAAGGAGTTCCTTGTGGGTACTTTATCCCTTGAAAGATATACATCTATTATCTATATAGGTCCACGATATCGTATAGCCCCATTTAACGGCACTTCACGATATTCGGCATTTTGATGATTTTGCCACATTTTTATACGGAATTGTCTGAAATTCTACACAAGAAGTTCTTTGTGAGCACTTTACCCCCTGAAAGAAAATTGTCTACATAGGTCCACGATATCGTATATCCCCCATATAACGGTACCTCTCCATATTCGCGATTTTGATGATTTTAGCCACATTTTCCAATGGAATTATCTGAAAATGCACACAAGGAGTTCCTTGTGAGTACTTTATCTCTTAAAAGATAATTATCTAAATATGTCCACGATATCGTATAGACCCATATAACGCTATTCCCCATATTCGGTATTTTTATGATTTTAGCCACATTTTTCAATGGAATGGTTTGAAAATCCACACAAGGAGTTCTTTGTGAGTATTTTACCCCCAGACATAGATTTGTCTAAATAGGTCCACAATATCGTATATCCCCCACATATATCGGCACCTTCCGATATTAGGTATTTTAAAGACTTTAACAGAATTTTTAATGGATTTTATTTTTTTTAAAATTTTCTAATTTGTTCCAAATGGTGGAGGGTATTCAAAGTTCGGCCCGGCCGAACTTACTGCTGTTTTACTTGTTCGCGTTTAAATCTGTTATTTTGGCGCTTTTTTGTTTAAGTTCGCGATTAATTTTTACAAAGGTATACTTAGCAATACTGAGTCACGTAAGGCTATGCGAAATAACGGACGAATGTTAGTGGAACGCATTCTGAAACGAAAGTGAGTGACTAGCTTTCGTTCGCATAAAATTTCCTTCGATATCGTAGAACAGGCTGTTAATATGTATTTAATGATAGCCGGGTGCCATTTGTTTACCATATGGTATGCAGGGCATAATAATTTATAGAGAAAGTAAGACATTTAGATAAGTGCCTAAAATTCTGAGCGAATGTGTGTTGTTTACAGCTGGGGTATTTTATTGAATGAAAACAAAAAATGTCGGAAATAGCATCAAATTTTAGAATAAGTTTAAATTTGTTCGAATTTGGTCACCTTTGGCACGAATTAAGGCCTTCAGACGGCCAATGAAACCGTCACACGCTGCTCGAATGTTGCTCTGCGGTATTTTAGCCCATTTCCGGCGAAGCGCTTGCCTTAGGTGATCGACACTCTGGTATTTTATAGTGCCAATCTTGCGTTTCAAAATACTCCAGACACAATAGTCCAACGGATTGGTATCCGGAGATTTTGGTGGCCATTGTGCCCTGGAAATGAAGCGAGGAACCTCATTTTGTAACTATTCTTGGGTGGCGCGTGCTGAGTACAGTTGGAATGTTCAAGGTCTGCGGCCACAATGTTTGCATTCCCAAGGCTTTAATACACCCTCCAAAATATGTTCGCAATAATATTCGGCATTTATTCTGATGCTACGGTCGATCAATACGAGCGGAGAGCGACCATCGGCTGTTATGGCGGCCCACACCATCACTATGGCCGGCGGTAGAGTTCTGGTGGCCAACCGAAAGTGCACATTTTCAGCTGACTTCTTTGGCAAGTAAACACGATCATTTTGTGTGTTTACAAACTGCTGAACAAGGAATGTTTTCTCATCGACAGTTCACCACTTTCGGCCAAGCGAATCAACTCTTTAGCTCTTTTGAGTCTATTTTCTTTCTGTTGTGGTGTAAGTTCGGAAATTCAATGGCTCTACCCCGAGCTCATTTTTCAATATGATAATTTCAGCTCACAAGCCATTTTTCGGCCACTGCGACGCGGATTTCGATCAAGTCGCTTCTGTAGGTTTCGAACCATTTTTGCTGATGTTGCCGTTTTTTTCCGTCCACTTCCTTGGCGTCGGGCTACGCTACCAGTATCACGGTGACCAGCGATGGTACGAGACACAAAATATTTATTCACATTTAAATGCTGGAGTGCTCTAACGATAGCCACTTGTGGTGGCGCTTGAATTCCATCACGAATAACTTTTTTCTGGAAAATTCCTACCAAAATGTTTTTGTACGCTTGTAAACAATATAATGAGCTGTTACAGCTGTCGGACAAGTGGCTTAGAAATGGCAACAGTCTGAAGTTGGTTGCAGTTGTTTTATCTCACCCTGTATGGAGGCCAAACCAAAACGGGAATCTATATTGACAATTTTATGCTACAAAGATTGTTATATATTGCGAGTCTTAAATAAGAAATTGAAAAAAATCGTGGGTAGATGTGACTAGAATTATCAAAATGCCGAATATCGGTGCGAGCCGTTGTATGTGCGCTATAGGAAAACATAACCTGCCACCGGAGCTAGAACCCATTATAAACTACAAAAACACAAATCCATGAAAAAATGTGGCTGAAACCATGCAAATACCGAGGTAGGTACGTTATATGGTGACTATACGGACATCGTTAAATCGACGTAGAATTTCGTGCTGATCGTCAATATATATACTTCATGAGGTCCGGGACGAGTATTTAGGGATGTTAAAAATGGAGTGACAAAGTTAATGTATCCTCCTTTGAAGGTGGAGGGTATAAAAATATGACTAACATACCAAAACGTTGACAGACATGACCCATATATTATACAAGTGATTCTTCATATAACCCATAAAGCTCTATCAAAATTAAAAAGCTCTTTGCGAAGTAGCGTGTATGGTTAAGGATACACAAAACCCTTACTACCCTCACTGGTTGTGGCACAGTGTTATTACTCTCTATTGGGCATAGTCCCCATTTACTGGGACCTGCGATTTAAAGTATCTCCAAGGTTGTGGGAGAATTTTCGGAAGGATATTGCAGTGCCCCTTTTTATACAACATTTCACTGATTGCAGTTCCAATGAATTTTGCATTTTAAGCAGTAGCTGCATGATTTAGATTTATACTCAGCAGAACTAGATTTATACTCAAGCGACATATGTTCTTTATGTAGTCTTAAATATTTATTGCGTAAAGATAAAAGTAGTAATAGCAGCCAAGAGCTGGTAATTTGCTGAGATTTTGTACTCATTTCAAAAAATAAGTATTTTTTTTTGCTTTTTTTTCAAAGGTTATAAGTTTTTTGAGTGTGGGAACGAGTGACTAGTAAAAAGTTAAACAAATAACAAAAAATTTATTAAAAAATAAAGTAAAAAATTCTACTCTTTTTTATAATTTTTTTTATTATAAATTTATTTACTGCTATACTTTTTTTTTGTTTTCTTGTTTTTTTTTCTGTAATGCTTACAATAATATTTTATTTTCGTTTTATTTTTGTTTTAATAAATAACATTTAATTGCATATCGTTATACAGTCTTTCGTTACTCTCACACAAAAATGCTGCTACTTACAAACTAAGAATTGACCAAAAAAATAATAAAAATATTGATTGCACTCGTTGTGGAATGAATGATTGAGCCAGAAAGAGAGGCGCCGCAACGTCATCACACTTCACAATCACAAAATTAAGCTAATTTACAAATTTTAGGTTAAACTTAAAATGTGTGAATTTGTTGGGGCGTTTCTGATTCCTTGGCTCTTTTTGTTAGCTTAAATTAAAAACAATCTGGTAACTCTTAAAAAGAAATAAATAGAAATAATAGAGAAGAATACTTTTAGTTGTGCGCCTGTGTTTCATTGCTGCGGCTGGTGGTTTTGGTGTGAGTTGTTGTTGCCGTCTAAAAAACACGATCACGAAGTATTAAACTTAGCGGCGTTTTAGGCGCTAACAAAAATTCAAATTCCGTTTCCAGCGGTTTTGTGAATTTTATATCGAAAGCAAGCAGGAGCTGCAAAATAACAAAGAATAATTATTTTATTTTCTTCTTTATCTTTGGGAGGAAAAAGAGTTGTTCAAACCTTGGCCAGCAGCAACACAATTTCCATTTCCACAAATCGTTTACCCGGACAGGTACGTTTTCCAATGCCAAATGGAACAACTATTGTTGAGCTTTCAATGTTAACACTGAAGTTGCCTTCCTTGTCTATCCATCGTTCGGGATGAAATGTTTTGGCCTCTGCAAAATTATTGTCCTTGTGACAGGCGATCATGTTTTGACAAAGTACAACTGTCTAGAAGAATAATAAATTTTGTTATTAGTGTGGAGAACCTTCAGTTGTAATTAAATTTTTATAGAGTAGGAAAAAAACGTATGTGAACATGGTTGTGGTAGGCTTTTTACAACTGTTTTTTTTTTGTCGAATTAAAAAGTTTTGATGAAAACCTAGAGAGATAATTATCGAATAATTGTTTATAGAGCTATTCACTTTTTCAGATAACATAAAGCAAGATCCGCTTCTGTCTGCGTTTCAAAATTTATCTAATACAGGTCTTAATCTTGACCTAATATTCGCAAAAGTAGCATGTGACGGGCTTAGAGGTAAATGTTGGTTGGAAAATGCATTTCCCCCTCAAAAAAGTTGCAATTCTAACCCATTTGAATAACTAATCATACAACTTACTGGTGTTCACAACACAATATGCGTCCTGATCGTTTAAAAGTCGGAAGGATTTTAAGTGATTTCAATTTTTATAAAGTATGTTGTCACAACAAAACAAAAAGCAAGTAAGGAAAAGTCAAAAGTCGGGCGGGGCCTTAACCGGAACAAAATAATTTATTCGAAGTAGATCATACAACCTATCAACATTTAGCTTTAGACCAGTTACAGTTTGATTTCAGATGGAATTTGGCAAAGGTATTTCCGAGCTTTATAAAATTTCTGGTACGAAATATCATTGTTGCCAAATGCATGTTACGAAAGTGAGGGACTTAAAAACCAAATCAGATGAAACATATATAGGAGTCATAGCTATATCTAATACGATTTTCACCAAATTTAACGTACTTGCTTCTAGATTGAATTCGGTCAGATATACCAAAATTTAGGCCATTTGGACTGATATTGGCTATTTGGTGCACAATTAATATCCAAATCTGAGCCGATCTTCACAAAATTTGATACACTTATTTCAGAGCTGTATCTGATATCTGGTAACAAAAATCATTGTTGTCGAATGCATATTACGCTTGTGAGGGACTTTAAATCCCAAATCGGATAAAACATATATATATATATATGGGAGTTATTATATCTGAACCGATTTACACCAAATTTGAAGTGCTAGTTTCTAGGATAATTTCAGTCGTAATGTTGGTAATTAAGTCCATTTGCGCTGACATTAGCCATTTGGTAAATCTGATATCAAATTAAGATATATATGGGAGCTGTATCCTAATCTGAACCGATCTCGATAAAATTTTACAGGGGTATTTTCGAGGAGTATCTGATGTGTGGAATATTGAATTTTTGGGCGAGGGTCAGTCCTTTTCCGCATGGGTCAGATATGGCTGGGTTTTTGGAAATTCGTACTAGAACGGTACGAAAAGTATCAAAAGATTTTTGAAGAAGCAATAGAGCTAGCACTCTTAAATTTGGAATGAGGGTCACTGATGCAGTGTATGATAGATGAACGAAAGGGTTTTTGGAAATTCTCACTATAATATATAATAAAAGTGTACGGAAGCTCTAAAATGTACCAGATTTTATTACCATTTCGTATCATGTGAACGGTTAGAGCTAAAAACTTGAAATTTGAAATGGGAACCAAGTTTAAGGAGTAGAGTCGATGTAGGAGGTATTTTTGGAAGTGTGTCTCATGTATACGAAATATACTAAACGGTACTAAATTTAAAATGGTGGAGCTGGAATCCTACAAATTGGCGGAGTGAGGGATTGTGATATGGAGGAAGTTGTGGAAATTTGGTACAATTTAAACTGTGGGAGAGCCAAAAGAGTTGGAATCCCTAAATTTGGAAATAAGATTACTATTGCATTGTAGGACTGAGGAATGTAGTTTTGGAAATTCGTACTTATGGGTGCTTAGTGGTACTAAATTTGGTACAACTTAAATTTCTGGTGAACCGGTAGTATTGTAATCCTGAAATGTGAAAACTAGATTTCTATTGGACTGTATGATGTACGTAGCTATGAAAATTTGTACTTAAGTGTACTAAATGGTATTAAATTTGAAACAATTTGGATTTGAGTGAACCAAGAGAGCTGGTATCATCAAAATTGGAAAATAAAATCACTCTTGGAGTGTAGGTTTGAGATATCTAGGTAGTTTTGGAAATTTGTACTTACTAAAATGTACTAAATTTGGAACAAATTTTGTACAAATTCAATTTGAGCTCAAGTCCGAAATTTGAATTATTTTTGGAAATAAATGAAGCTAGAATCTTAAAGTTGTGCATAAGGGTCAATGTTGGCGGGAAGTAAGGGCCATTAGCTTGTATCCTTTATAATTCGATGGTCTACATATAGCTCCTATAAACGTCCTCGTCCAATTTCAAGAATCAAACATCAGATGTATTTTATGACATAAGATCAAATTTAGTCTAGATGCATGTATGTCAAATTTGGGAAAAATGAGATCAGATATAGATATAGCTTCAATATATACATTTTCTACGATTTAATATTTAATCTTCTATATATAAAAATCAATTTTTGTTCGTTGATAATGGAATCAGTTGAGAACGACTGGACCGATTTGCATAATTTTTTGTACAAACGTTCGTTAGTTAGGTTTTTAAAGAAAAAATATTTACTTTTTACTTTTACGCCCACTCTTCCGATTGATCTAAAATCCTTATATTTGCCAAATAATGAAGATATCTGTTTTAAAATTTTTGCACGATATACTGTTGACCTTCCCTCCAACCCTAAGTATTAATTTGGGGGCTGAGGAACTGACCACGCCTACTTCTTAATCTATATGTATATAAACCAATTGGTGTCCGTTGGCAATTAAATCAGTTGAGAACTACTGGAACTATTTGGATATTTTTTTAAAGTTCGCCCTACCCCGTTTTTAGTTTTTATGCAAAGAAAAAGTGACCACGCCCAATTTTACGTCCATTTTTCGATTTACCCAAAATCCTAATATTTGCCAAAATCATGAAGATATCTGTTCCACAGTTAGTATACGACGTAATCTTGACTCTTCCTCCAATTCTAGGTATCTGTTTGGGGTCAGAGGAACTGGTCACATCAACTTTTTAAATTTATATGTAAAAAAATTGAAAAAGTATAGTAACACATCAGTTGAGAACGGCTCGGTCGATTTGACTCAAAGTTTCTTTTGGTTATTTGTAATTACAGTGGAAACGTTGTCGCGAAAGAACAGTTTGAGGAAAGCCTCTGTATAGAATTGTTTCAGAATGCCTTTTGAAATTGAATATTCTTATGGAAAAAACCGCAAAAAGTCGAGAAATTATACATGTTTTCTATAAATGCCGTTTTCAATTTTGTTAGATATGGAAATAATCCATCCAATGAGAACACTAATGCAAAATTTATTGGGACTTTAGTTAATGAAATACCGAATATGAAGAGGTACTGTAATATGTGGACTATAAAAAATAGTGGATTGAATTGAAAATATAGTAAGAAAAGGATTCATATACTCGGAAAATTCTTCCGAACCCTTAAAAGTATCCTTAAATCATAGGTAACGTTATACGAGGACTATGCGCTAACGTCAGTAATTACACTGCGCCGCAGACAATCTTGGGGTAGGTCAATTTTTCTGTTGGTAAATAAAAATCCCAAAAGAGGGGTTCCCGGTCATTTGATATAGCACACAAAGGGCCTCAAATATTATGCCCTATACTCCACAAAAGTTACGATAGGTACAGTCCTAAGGTTTACATGAAGAATCATTTGTACAAAATATGTATCAGGTTGGTCTATATTGTGATATAGCCCCCCTTTCAAATTCCTCAAACGTTGTTAATTTGAGATTTTAGAGAGAACAACACATCCTTTCAAATAATTATGAGTATAAGATCATGCTTTGGTATAACACTTATATGAAGGAGTCCTCTGATTTCAGCTATTATCAGGGTCTTGGTCATATTTTTCAATTGACTTTGCCCTTTTTTGGCATCTTAGCTTCTAAGGAGGTAGAAGACCTCTTGGCTCCTGATTTTACATATTTCGACTGTTTTGATTATATTTTCGAATCGATTTGGCTTAAAATGTGTGTTTAGCCTACTTTGGAGGTAGAGAACCATCTTACATGGGGCTATTATAAACAGTTGATGGTTATTTTTTAATATATATGCTATATTATTTAGGTTTTTAACTCTCAAATTAAAACCTCTGGCTGAAAAATAGGATCAGGTTTTTTGAAACATGTATTTATTTATACTGTTCTATCGAGTCATCATTTATATGAAAAATTGTGTCAGTTATGTGAGCCAGATTTGTGAATTATGATGCTTTAAAAACTATGCACTAAAGACTAAAACTACGGGCTGGCAACGCGGACTGGGTCAGCTAGTATTTATATAAAAATCAGACGAGGTGGTCTGTAGCTGTAGCTAAAATGAAATCTATAATAATTTTCATATTTTAACAATTGTTACAAAATTTCGAAAAAAGAGACCTATATTGAGAAATTTAAATTACAACTTTTTTATTTTAAATGAGGTAGATAGGACAAGGAAATCTAGCGTCTTGTTAGACTATCATGTTAGCACGGTACCAACTAACCTAAAGGATATTGCAACACCATTTTGTACTTACCCCAGCTTTGAGATCATAGCCCGACAGTTGCATATCTTCTTCTAATATTCGCGCCAAACAAAACGCTGTTGGCCTGATGCGATACGATTCCTGGATACAGGCTTTGGTGTATGTGGCATTGGTGAAAGCATCCTGAAGTATTATTGTGTGACGATGGTCCTGAAATTCTTGTAGGATTTTGCCAATCACCTCCTCATTGCCGGTCACCGAACTCAGAACAAACAACAAAGTATTGGCTAACTGCAAGATAAAAATCGAAGAACTATTAAAGTGCAGTTCCATAGGGGCTCAACTCAGGCTTACCGTTTCAATACCGGCTGCAATGAAATCAATAATAGCTGATTTCTTGTCTCTGATGTCCAAATCTTTCAGATCCAAAATGTGTTGAAATACACTGCGCACATCGTCGTCGTGATGCATGAAATTGGCATTGTTCTCTTCCAGAGCCTGGTCGACCATTTCCGAAATCACACTATGCATGAACTGAGAAGTTACTTTCTAGATTTCTTAGGAGCTGGGGCAATAAACGCTTGTATCGTTTGCGATCGGCTGTACTTACTCATAAATGGTTTCCTCGGCGTGGGCAAATTTCCTGTAGGTCTGCGTGGGAAAATACTTCCACATGCCGAAGCCATAGTAGGAATCTCTTTGGGAAATAAATAGCTGCTTAACAGCGGCCGCCAACTGTTTGATCTTCTCCGGCTGTTCGGTGTTCGTGGAAAGGAATCCCATGCGACGGCCCAGCATTAGTGTGCACACCGCCTCTAGACCCATCAGATTTGCAATATCTTCAAAATTGGTAACCTCAAACGTGTGAGGATCTCTATGTGCTTTTAAAAGATCAATAAAATCATCACATACCAAATTCAGGGCTGGCAAAAAGTTTTGCAAAATTCTCGGCGAGGTTATGAACGAAGTTAGGGAGGAGCGTAACTTTTGCCATGTTGGACCCTGTCTAAACGGAAGAGTGACTTAATCGAAAGGACCTTCACAAACCTACAAACTTACTCATTAACAATACCAACGCTGGCATAACGTTCAGGGCGAGAGCGGCGATAGGTTACCACAATTTCCGTGGGTGGTCTAAAGGGATATTTGCTGGGATACTTAAGGACCTTTTCCAAGTCGGCACGATTGAATAAGTGAACAATGGGCAGGCCAGAGGGCATGACTTCTAGAACAATGTCACCATATTTGCGATTTAGATCTGTCATGAAATATACCAGGATGAAAAGAGGTTTGGATTAGTAAAATCAAACGATTTTGAAAGGATGACACGGAACTCACCGGCATACACCTCATGCAGTTTGGACATTTTATATTTTCGAAAAAATAATAGAAAAATCCATTTTGTACCCAGCAGTGGCAGCGGCTTTGGTCCCGGTATATCGAATACCCCCTTGGGTCGTATTTCTCGTGCATGATAATAGTCTGTCTCTGTGGTTATGGACGCCTCCGAATCATTGGCAAACTTATTCAGTTGATCCTTGTTGAGCAGCAGCGGTTTGATATAGCATTCAGAAAATTTACGTAAATCCAAGTTACAGTAGAAAGCGAGCAGGATGGCAATTGCCATTAATAATATCAAAGCCATAACCATGAGAAATCTGTAAGGAGAATAAAAAATAGGGGGCTATTAAATTTAAAAAAGTTTAAAAAATTTTAGATTTTTAGAATGACATGTTCAAAAAATTCGAATAGCATTTACCTAGAAGGAAACAAGTAAAAAAGCAGTAAGTTCGGCCGAGCCGATCTTCGAATACCCTCCACCATTTGGAACAATTTTGGACATTTTCAAAAAAAAAAATCCTTTAAAAATTCTGTCAAAATTTAAAAAAATACCGAATGTAGCCGTTATATTAGGGTATATACGACGACTTGGACCTGCATAGGCAACTTTTGTCATAAACCATTACAATCTTTAAAAGCGAAACTTGAATAAAAAAAAAATTCGTTGAAATATGTCGCTTAAATCATCAAAATACCGAATATCGGGAGGTACCGTTATATGGGGGCTATACGACGACGTGGAGCTGCACAGACAATTTTCTGACATAGGCTGTAGTACCTATTACGAATTTCAAATACCGAATTTGAAACATTTCCGGTGAATGATGTCGCTTTAATCACCAAAATACCGAAAAAAGGGAGGCACCATTATATGGGGGCTAAACCGAAACGTGGACCTACATCACCCATTTATTCACCAAATGTCCTGCAGACAAAGTACACATTTGAGTAAAATTTTATTAACCTACTTCATTTCATTCGGAAGCTAGAGTGATTTCCACAGACGGACAGACGGATAGGCGGACGGACAAATCGACATAGAATTTTATGCTGATCAAGAATACTTACGGGTTGCCCATATTCGACGGAACCATCTGGCAACGCCATAACTTTTGCAGAGATGTCACATCGCTTAATGACATACCGCGTTTGAAGCGTCAGTCCAAGCAGATTTTCACCATGAACCAATACACGCCACGCGAGCCCTCTGAAATAGTTGAAATTTACATTCAACAGAAGAAGTCAAACTCAACGTACTTTTAAAACATTAAAAAATGTGAGAAGTGCGCCTTCTAAGAACATAATTAAGCGTTTATACGAAAAATTTTCGACTGGTAAGGCTCTTTCTAATCCGAAGAGGCCATATAAAAGTCGACTAAGGCGATCGGCCAAGAATATCGCTGCCGTACGAGCCAGTGTTGAGAGGTCCCCAAGAACGTCCCAAAAAACGCCGTACTCAGCAGTTGGGCATGGCTCGGTCCACTTTACAACGGATTATTCGCATTGATTTGAATTTGTTCCCGTACAAAATTTAATTGACGCAAAGAATGTTGCCTGCGGACAAGCCTTGTCGATTGGAATGGGCCCAAAGGTCCGTCGAATATGGGCAACCCTGTATAAAGTGTATACTAATACTTTGTGGGGTCTAAAATGTATATTTCGAGGTGTTACAAACGGAATGACAAACTTAATATACCCTCCATACTATGGTGGAGGGTATAAAAATTACTTCTCAGAGAGACACAGTACTGTTCAATATGCTTGTGAGGGATAAAGATTATTCTTCTCTAAGGAAAAAAAATAATCCTTAATATAAAGTTGGTTCCAAAGTCTGGCCCAATCCATGGTACAATGAAGAGAAGGTAGGTCAACTTTGAAAAAATTGCAAGTATAGAGGACTACCTGTTTGGCTTGTAATGTCAGAATTACTATCAAAACAATAAAAAGCAAACAACTTGTTGCATTGATTTTGAATAAATAATTTAAAACCGCGAAAACTGAATGATAGTTCAAAATTTCTTTTCAAAATCATATTCTATATATCTCTTATGGTTTATTTCGCGACAAAAACTGTAGATTTTGTCGATGCATATGTTGTAATAAGCATTTTGAAAACACCCGAATTTGAATATTTTCTGAAAAATTTTTTATTATTGAAAAGAATACGCACACATAAACAAATTAAGTTGACATATTAAGCCAGAAAAATAAAAAAAATTGAAATCATATGGTAGTTCTGTCCTACCTTGAATTCATTGTACCATGGCCCAATCTATATACATACCTAATGGCCAAGAATATTAAGAAAGATTTCGGAGGCTGCAGGTTATGTCAGTTATTCTAAAGTTAGCAAGATATATCATCTCAGTGGATTACCTCAGACACATTTTTAGTTGAATCAAATGTAATTCCTATAGTTCCAAAAAAATTGACTTAATAGACAGCTTTTGACCGAATAGAATTGCAGACGATTTGAATATGACAAGGCAGATAAATTCAAAATTATTTTGTGATTGTACGTGTTTTGAAATAAAAAAATATTGCAAGTGTTACTTTGCCCCTCTATAAAGAGAGAGAAATTTTTTGTTAGTGTTGTAAAACTTAAAACTATATACATTTTATGTTTTTCATTGAATTTTTTATCTGACAGAATTTGTATACTAATTTACATGCTATAACCAATTAAAATTTTTTGAAACAGATATTTTAAAACCTGGCTACCCTTCATGTTTTACCAACGGTTGTACCGTGTGTGGCTTGTGGCATAAAGAGAGTCAAATTAGAATAATGCCAAGTTTATTGTCAAACTGTTGTCAACAATAGTCTTCTTGGTCGACCTTATACAGGTCTTGCTTGCTATATTTATATTCCAAAACACATAAATCACATAATAATTTTGACCATATCCTGGTCTAAAGCAATTAAAAACCAGAACAACATTTGAAGGGACGAAGAATTTGCTGCTGTCCACATTGTATATATATGTTTCAGCAGAGGCGAACGTGATTCAATTTTGGAACCAGTGCTGGATAAGCAATCACAAGTCACAAGGATCCCGTAGCAAGTACGATTAGATGTCTACTGGTAAGAGTTTCGGGTATTCATGACCATCGACTGATCTTTTAAATGAAAATCGATGAACGGACAAGAAACAATATTTTTGCACTATATTCCTGCATTAGGATTAAGTGAATGGAACTTGTTGGTGGATCTCGCCTTGATAGTTATCGGCTCGTAAGAAGTCTTGTGGTTTGTTTTGGCTCATTTTAACTCGGTCTGTTGTAGGCCGAAAAAATTCGCTCGAATTTAAGTGAAGAGTCTTATCCGCTCGTATTCGAGTGGGAGCTTACCTGAGAATAAAAAAAATCAAACTTACTCTATAATTCGATCTCGCTTGAATTAGAGCGAGCCAGCTTTGCTCGTTTTAATGATGTAGCAAAATTCTACTCTTGCCTTGCACCTACCACTTTAATTTTAAAAACAGGAGCGATACAGGAGCGCTTCCACATAACAAAAGAGTGAAGAGTAAACTAAGTATAAAACTCGAACTCGAAGCAAGTTTCGCTCCCCAGTAAAAACGAGGAAATCTGTGCTTTTTTTGTAGGGGTACCCTATCTTTATTATTAAGAACGACCCTGCCCGGTATGGAGTTTGATATTAGCATAGCTATTGCCATTAGCTATGTTGCTATGTTTATTACCAATATTTCTGTCAATACGATTGAGTAATTTGGTCAAGACCCTCGAAATAACTTAAATCAGGAGGTGCCTTTATATGAGGACTACTCAAAAGCATTGACCAAAGTTGAAATTGTACCGCGAAGAGTGCTTCACTCTTTGAGAAACCAAAATATAAAACAAAAATAGATCAAGTCTGAAAAATTTTGCTACCCTCGAAAAAGCTGAAGTCAGGGAATATGTGAACCTATATTGATATTTTTATAACCTCCACCATTTTTTGGAGAGTATACATGGTTGCACATATTCGACGGACCTTTGGGCCCATTCTAATCGACGAGTCTTGTCCGCAGGCAACATTACTTGCGTCAATTAAATTTTGTACGGGAACAAATGCAAATCAATGCGAATAGTCCGTTGTAAAGTGGACCGAGCCATGCCCAACTGCTGAGAACGGCGTTTTTGGGATGTTCTTGGGGACCTCTCAACACTGGCTCGTACGGCAGCGATATTCTCGGCCGATCGCCTTGGTCGACTTTTATATGGCCTCTTCGGATTAGAAAGAGCCTTACCAGTCGAAAATTTTTCGTATAAACGCATATGGACAACCCTGTATATTACCTCTGATGCTCTTTACTTGAATTATTATCAGGTCTGATTACTAGTTATTAGTTCTTCGGTTGTTATAATTTCCCACAGTTCCTACAAAATTGACTGAAGTGACAGCTTTTGACCTAAAAGAATTGCAGCCGTTTCGAATATTAGGAGTCTTTGTTTCTCTTCACATTACAGCTATATTTTTCTGCAGTGGCGGGACGTGTTTTAATTGGAATCATGTGGAGGACTCCGTACCAAAGACTAGGGAGAGATCTGTCCTTTCCTTGAAGGATGACGAACGATTAGGGTGTCTTCTGGTAACCATGTCGGGAATTCGTTACCATCGACCGATTTTTCAAAGGACAATTGATGCATTAGATTTAAGTTCATGGAACTTGTTAGTAAATCTCGGCATCGTTGTTTCGTTTTAAAATAAATTTAGATGCGGGAAATTGGATCGTCTTATGGTTTGCTTTTAGCTGGTTTACACTCGGTTTGTTGTAGGTCGAAAAATTAGCTCGAATTCGAGTAAGGATTTATACTCCCTCGAATTAGAGTGGGAGCACTCCTGATTGAGCATATTTTTAGATGTCGCTCGAATAAGTGGTATCAAAGTGGTATTAAAATTCTGATCTGGTAGCCGCCACCCACACACACAAACAGTTCTTAGAATCCTCCAAACCGCTTTGCTACTACACCCACGTAAATACAAATCAGCAAACCAAATAAACTTTTACGTGAAATGTCCGATATTACTCTATTTCGAGCGATTCGATTTCCGCTCTAATTTTTCAAGGAAGGGCGACACGGGAGAGCTCCTGCATAGCAAAAGAGTGAAGAGTTTACTCCGTATAAAACTCGAACTCTTCGAGTACTCCCACTCGCAAGCAAATTTCGCTACCGAATCTGTGCTCTTGTTGTAGGGTTAGGGTACAGTTAGTAAGAACGGTCCTGTCCGGTATGGAGCTGGATATTAGCATAGCGATTGCCATTACCTGGAACAAATTATGAGCTGCGAACTAGCTGGAAGCTCGAAGACTCCA